TTTTCAAATATTTTTATCTATTTAAAAGATTAAAAAAGCTATTTGTGCATTGTATTTATAATGTTGAAATCTATATGTTGCAATCTAGCAGAGATAGTGACTCATGAGGAAAGAACTCTGAAGTTTCTTCAGAATATTCATTACATATACTCTCGGTGCTAAAAATTGGTTTGGCTCTTTAGAAGTATAAAAATTGATAAAGTAACTGGTTATGTTATGTGTACTTCGTCAGATCACAACCATGGTATTCGGAATTCTTAATACATGATGTGGTAGTATCCCAGGGCATTTTACAATATCTTGTTAAAGATATTTGATAACCAGAATATGAAAATGGGAAAATGGAATACTATCAGGATGTATAAAACTATAGAATATGATATGTCTGGAAAATGTATATTATCTGGATATGTTTAATAAAATAACTTGATTTCATCAATTACACCATTTGAAACAAGCAAAATTTTTCATGACAGTGGTTTTTAAGATTGGTTAAGATTTTAAATATGATCATTTGGATCTGCTGGAAGGGGAAGAGATGCAGATTTGACATTATTAATTATTTAGTATTAAATAATATGTGCTATTTACATGTTCACGTTTTTGTTTAAAAAGTTTAAAATGTTCCTTCCCCTCAAAAGAAACAGAGCTAATATATTGCTGCTCAAAATGTTATTTTTTACCTGTAGAACTTAAGAGAAATATATATTAATAAATGACCTTCTTAGAAATAATAATTTAATATTATATTTTAAAGAACATATTTATTACTAAAGATCAGACACAGTTTGCTTGTATGCTTTGGTTCAACATTGCTTCACCAGTAACAGTGAGCAAACGGAATTCCATAAACAGGCTTTAAATATTTCATTGCACATTGCTTTTTTGGAAGACATATTATACTTAAAAAAAAAATAATATGTAGGAAGTACAGCGCTGCTCTATTAAATAGGATGGGAAAAGCTTTGTGGAGGATGGGACAAAGACTGCACTGGATGGGACAAAGATACAAATTAGATGAATTGAATTGAATATGATTGCCTATATAATGGCTTGTTACTTATTGTCCTTGTGGAATTTCTGATTTGAGCAGGAGTGAGATAAATAGAGTTATGTAGAAAATAGATTTTTTATTATGTAGTTGATATCTTTGCCTTCTCTGTTAGTGGTAGAACATATTTTTAGTATTTTCCTTTGTGTAGCAGTAGAGTATTTGTATTTATATTTTCCTGCTTGAGAAATGTTATTTACTCTTCTCTGGATAAATATTTCTAGAAAAAAGTAAACCCCTTTGTATGTTGGTGTGGTAAAACTGAAAGCTAAGTAGACACAAAGTTGGAAATCTTCAATGAATTCATATAAAGTACATCTCAGGGAAACTATTTAATCCAATTGAATTCAATGTAACTTATGTACTTATAACTGTTTTTCCAGCCTGGTACTTTTTCAGCCCAGATGGGGAATCCAACAATTAAAGCATTTAAATAAGGAAGAATTTGGACTAAATAATATCAATTAATTAACATATATATAGTGTAGATAGACGGATGATAAATTTGATAAGCTTAACATAATAAATAAGCAACACATGTATGGACTAAATCAGAAGCAAACGTATCTTGGTAACATTGCGATAATATAAATGTTTTGTGAAATATTGCTTCAAGACTTCCTTATATTGTCGAGATTAGAAAAGATATTTAAATATACAATCAATATTTTTTATTTTATAGAGTTGGATCTAAAATATCAACCAATATAGTGTTTATTTTCAAGCCTTGTACTTCAAATTAGAATATTCCAGCTCTTTGAGGAAATATGTAGGTATTTGTTCTGTATTGATGACAAAATAGTTCTGCTTCACAACCAAAATTATATCAGAATTTCTAAAATGCTAATTACAGTCATAAGAGATGTTTCTCTTGAAATAAGTAGAGGCCCTAACTTTCTTGGAGTAGTATGTATAAAAATTCTATTTTTCCCCATTCTCTTTAATTACATTTAAGAGATAAAGTTTGGGAAATAATACCTAATGAGAAATGATTTATTTCTGGATTTCAGAGGGCATGTAATAGTACTTGGATTCAGTTTTCAGTCTTTTATGTTTCTTTGTCTAATTTTGGTCCTCTTTCAAAATGACAAAGAATATAATGCATCCCATTAGAAGATAATCAGTCTGCAACTAGGTCATAAAAAAATAAATCCCAAAGAAACACACAATCCAGAATTCCTGTGAATCTTGGTTCTCTTAGACTGTAGTTGAACTTATACAATCCTGCCTGCATTTTATTTATTAATAAAAGAAGACGGTTTTAATAAGGAGGACGAGCGTTGAAAACTTTGTTTGCTTTTGTGTTTTATTTTTAAATGCAGTTCTTCTGCTGTATAGATATATGTATGTATTTGATCAACACATTTTTGGTTCAGTATCTTTGTTACCCTTCCATACACAATATATTACTTTTCTGCTTATTTGAGCAGTAAATGCAGGCAAGTGAACATCAAATTTAAATGGGTACTGTTGGAAGTTGGGACAAACCTTTCACTGTAATATATGAAGTAAAAAACACTAAATGTAAAGATTAAAAATAAATGTGCAATTCATATTGGTAAAGAGTTCTAGGTGAACATTTTTTTCAGCCAAAAATGCTTTTGTTTATGCTATCTTACCCTGGAAGAAATACATTTTTAATTATTTAGAAGCTTTGAATTTTGCATAAAACTATAGTGACTTACAGATATACAAATTATAGGCACAGTTTTCTTCATTTAGACAAGCCTAAGTCTTCCATGCCCCTAAGAATTCCATGCCCCTAGACTTCAGCAGGCCTGCTGATAAGACTCTTTCCTGAGCAGGTAGGCAAAATGTAATGAAATTGGATGTGCATGTTAAGTTCTGTAAATAGAATGGCCTGACCTCTAGCTATTATCTCATTTATCTTTTTTAAATTTTAAAATCAGGATGTACAATATTGACTAGGGCATAATATCATCATAATGATTAATTATGAACAGGAAAAGCCCAGAGTTATATTGGGCTTGTACACAGCAGGCCAAACTGCCAAAAAATTTCCAAGGACATGAGCAGATGGAGCTCACTTTATTAAAGAAACAGATGGATGGAAGCCTCTAATCAACTTTTCTTGCTGTGCCAAGAGATTTAACCTCAGTTCTGAATTTTTATTTTTGAAAAATTTTCTCTTAGCTACTTTTAAATATATATATATATATTATATGTATATATGTATATATTATTGAATCTCTTGATTTGACTGTGACTAATAGCACTTACTACATTTAACTGTGGAAGCAATTGGCCTGGCATAGAAGACAGAAGTGTGTTAATTTGTTTTTATAATGTCATGGGCTATTCTAGTTTAATAGTCATTCAGAAAGTTGTTTTGTTTTAACATTGAAATTTGTCATCTTAAATATAGATGAATTTCACCTTTGTTTTTAATGACAAGAAAGGAAGAGCTTAAAACTTTTAACCTATTCTTAGAAATTGCTACATCATGAGGTAGGCAAGTTGCTGAACTAGCTCCATGTTAGGAACAAAAATATATACCATATTTGAAATTAAAATGCTGGAATGTAAGTGGCTCGATTTCATCATTTGTGAGGCTGATAAAAGAGTTGGTTCTTCTCAACTGCATAAGCTAACCTGACACAGGGACTCTGTAAATGCTTTATTTGCATATTCAATACATTGACATATTCATTTTATGTATCATACTAACAACTAAAGCATTAATGGGTGGGAGGGGGGAGATAAGAGGCCATTAAAGAAATACTTCATCTGAAGTCCTGTTCCCCTTGGAATTTGACCACTATCAGTTGCAATTCTTCTTACACATCATTTTATACATTTCTCAGCAATACAACCTAAACACAAACAAATATAGTTTGTGGACCAATTCTTCTATAATAACTTCAGCCTAATACTGGTTGTTTCTTATTACATCTGAACCAGGAAATGGTCAAATTTCTTATAAGAAATTGCAATGTGTTTCTCCCTACCAATAATTTCTCCCTACCAAAATACCAAAAAGGGAAGATGTAACTCAATAGTGTTCTTGGTTCAGATGTTTTACAAACAACTGTGGTTTAACAAGGTCTGGAAGTCATACATTATGTGCAGGGGAAGGAATAGGATCATTTTATTTACAATATATTACATAGGTTTATAAGCCAAGGCAATAATAATTCTATGTGATATGATGCGCTATTATATTTAGTTTCAAAAAAATTTTTTTTTAATAACATCTGACCAAAGATGATAATGGAGGAGGAAAAAACAATCATATGATGAGCAAGGATGATTCTGTCATGCAACCTTCAACTCTATTAAAATATCTCCAAAACTGTTATATACCATATAAAAAGACATGATTATCAGAATTCTATGTGCATTCATTTTCATTCATTGAAGAGCAGCTGTTTGCACTTATTTTTCGTATGATGAGAGATGCATATTTGTTTGTTTGTTTATTCATGCTGTAAATGGAATATAAAATTGGATGGGCAGAAACATGCTTGCATGGCAGGACTTTCTCCTTGGTCTCCTTTTCCCTGAACTTCCTCTGAAATCTCTACAGATCAATTATTGGCGGGTACAAAGAGTCTATAAGGAGAGGGATAAAGCACTCCCACTCCCAGTTCCCTAAACAGGAAGAGTTCCATTAAAAAGGGGGTTCTCTTGATATCTGTTCTTTATTTCTGCAACATAGTTGAGATGTTAACAAAATTTGTTATTCTAATATTAATCCATCAGCTTTCTCTAATAAGTTAGCTATCAGTTCAGGAGTTCTGGGAGCGCTAGTGTCCATATGAAGCTCCATCCTTGGTTGGCTATATTTTCAACATATAGCAGTAGATAGTTATGTATATTTCATTATATTTTAGGATTTGTTCAGATTTCATGGTTAATTTCGGTTGATTCTCTATTTTTATCTAAATTCTATATTGAGCATAAAAGAATCATTCTGTTTCTAATGCAGGTGTGATGAATGCAGATTATGCTATCATTTTGGTTGTTTGGACCCTCCCTTGAAAAAATCTCCAAAACAAACTGGCTATGGATGGATTTGTCAAGAATGTGATTCTTCATCATCCAAAGTAAGTTAATGAGTCTTGTGAAAATGCAGATAAAGTTACAATTTAGAAAATGTTTACCAAAAGCTCATCTTGAGCTTTGAACACAACAGTAAGAGAGAAAATTCATCCTGCTGGGAAGTTTCATGATTTGTTTTTTGCAAAGCATAGCTTAACATTCGTAATTATTCAGGTAATTGTGTTGTATTCTCATCCATTTAACTGCAGAATGTTCTGTACTTCTTAAGAGTTTAATGATGAATGTCTGTGAAATGTTCTTTGAATCATACTAAATCATTTTACTGTACACGATTTGCTAAATCATTTTACTGTAACAGGCCTATATTCTGTATAGTTTGTCTTAATAATAGAGGCATTTAAAATGAGATTAAAAATATAATTGAAAATATATGATAAATACAGTTCATTATTGCTAACAGTGCTTTGTTCTTTTGATACATGTATTTACTTATAAAGATGAGACAACTCAGTCTTTGTATCATCTGCACATATGCTGAAATAAACTTGATCAACATACTATTTAAGCCATAAGGCAAAGCAAGGCTGTAATTCTCCTTTTCAAATGAAAGCATAAGTTGTGTAGTGAAGGTTATTAATCAAATTCTTCTTGGTAAAGATGTAATTTTTGACACAGGATTCTTGTAACCATCCACTGGGTTTTGAACAGGTGTATTTGTAGAAGGAGGTCAAAAAAGTCAAGATGGCATCTACAGCAAGTTAGATGGCATCCCCCCATCTAACTACAGCCACACAATTAAAGCTCCATGTTCATAAAAGAGGGGTGTGGCTTCAGCTGCACAATCCCAGTCACCATCATGAATTTTTTGACCCATTCTTTGACAGACACCCTGATTCTGGACACAGAAAAACATTTAAATGAAGCCCAGTTTCTGAGTGAACTAAAAATGTTTACAGTATTCTAGGCAATCTTTCAAACTAAAATTCCTCGAAGATAAATAACTGAAAAAGCATGATTAAGAATAATTTGTTAATGCCGTTTGCTTGCTTGTGTTAACTTAAAAACAGCAGAGCTTTGGTACATAGTAATCTTACCTCTTGTTTGTGATAATCTTAGTTAATTTACATCTGTTTTCGGCATGAGCAAATTTAATGGCATTTGAATAAGCAATTAATATTAGAAAGAAATGCTTTAAGTTCTTGTTAGTGATAGTTTGTCATAAAGCAGTGTCTCAGTTTTAAAACAATTTACTCTGTTTTGTAGTATCTTAATCCATTTTGCTGAATAATACTTAGCTTTAAGTAAAAGAATGCAGTGACTTTTGTTTTAAAATGTAGTCTTTGGGCATATTTATACATTGCAAGTGTTAATTATCTAGTAAAACAGTGCTTCTGAGTTTTACAAGTCTTTAGGCTCAGTCCAGAAAATACTGTTATCAGTTCCAAACAGTTTTTATTACCTGCATGAAACCCAGCTGTGGGGTGGGATTGTGTATACCTAGCAGTCCGTCTCATGGCTGCCGTTCCCCCCATCTAACTTTTAATTAGTGCATGATTTCTCCTTTCTATCCCACATTGCTCTGTGTGAGAGAAAAGCCAGAACCTTTCATGGTTCTGGAATTCTTAGTTGGGGCCTTAGCATTAACTTATTTACACACAGCTCACACAATCACAGACATTCAGATGGACCTTGCATAAGAAAGGTCCATTGGGAATGGAACAGGAAATCTGTCCTGATTGACAATCTTTGCTTTATGGCAGTGAATTTGCAGAGCCAATTTGTCAACACCACATTTTTCTTTCTACCACTAAATATTATTTTTTGTACACCTCAGCAGTTTCATGTATATGTTCAAACAGTGAAATAGCAGTGCCTTCTTTTTAGCTTTTAGTTTTTGCCAATACTTCTTCCACCAGTGAAATCAGAGTTGGAAAGAATCAGTCCTAAAGGCAAATTAATCATAGGATATTAATGTATAGTCACCTATTAAAATCACCAACCTAATTTAAACTATAAGATAAATTAAAGACTAACTTTTTATTGTTTGAAGAATATAGCTAAATAATATTATAACTAATTGTAATAGAAATACATATTGTTCTTTGTTATTCAGATTAACAAATATCAGAAACTACCTGCAAGTTAGTCCTTTCATAAAAGCATAAAAGTACTTGTATTTTTTTAGTGCTAGTACTAATTGTTTCATAATCTGTGTTCATAATGCAACTATTCAGTTACTGTTGCTTGTATCTTGCTGAATTAGCGTGCTCTTTCAGATGCGGCAGATGTTTTAAATGTAGTAAATACAATTAAAATAGCCAACTTTCTTTTTTCACAGTATATTAAACAACTTATACAGAGAAGCTATATAAGTATGGTTTAGTGAATCTCCTCCTTGCTCACCTCTTAAAAGACATGATATTGAAAGAGAAGGTGTATGCTACTTAAAAACCTATTAACATTACAGGTAGAACAGTGTAAGTACATCTACCAACTTGAGAAGAAAATAAGATACTGGATCTAAGTCCATTGATATCAGTTATTTGCTGCTTTACAGTCTAGTTTTTTTAATAGCTTTGTGGCATTTCATAAACTTACTTTGAAGCAGAAATCATGTTCAGAATTTAGTGGAGTCAGTCCTGGGACCAGATTTGGACTATAAGAGTAAGTGATGGAGTCTAATACTTTGGAATATGAGGTAACCCCTAAAAATATACTCATGAGTCTTTTATTCTTCCTTTTCTGTGTTAGGAGGTTGTGACTCACCTAATTTGCTGAAAAAAACCAAATTTGTTCAGTTTGCAACAAACTAAAGAGACATACAACCATTATTTGAGCATAAAGGTGTAATATCTTTTAGTTCCAGAGTCATCTGATTTTTGAGCTGGGATAGGTACAAAAGCGCATAAGCAGACCTTTGTGCTACTAATTGTGGACAAAACAGGCATTTCACCCAAGCATCCTTATGCTCAATTTTAAGCAGCCATGAAGATTGACGAACCTTTCTATGTTGTGCCAGTTATATGCATTGCTGAGGATCTCTTGACTTGTATTGCTGCTTACCTTGACTTGGATATGGTGAATCATGCTATTGACCTCTTTGTCTAATTTGAGGTAGGGTGGTTTTGAGAAATATATGGAAAAGGACTGTGGAGCTGTATGTATAAATAGTCTGCTATAAAAACAGTAGCATTATTCCTCATTGTAAGTTGATGAACATTTGTTGATTTGGGGCATAAGTGACTTGTGCCTTTTCTGTTAATAAAATTGTCTGTTTAAGGAACATCACATTCACTCTGCCGATTTCAATTAAAATATTTCCTTAGAAGGAAAAGTTAAGAAGTGGCAAACGCCTTACAAATGGTGCATAGATCAGCATCACTGTTATAGGCAGTATTAGGTATTAAAAAGCCAACATTGCTTTGGCTGAAAGATTTTCTTAATAACTTTTGACTATCTGCTTTTGAAGACTGTTATTCAAATAGGTCTTTAGGAAATATACAAGGCAAGAAAGTATGGGACTGAAGAAGATCTAACCTAAACCTTAATTGTCTTCAACATTTTAGTTTCACTAATGTAGAATAACTCAATTATAGTGGTGATGGGTGCACCATTGGAAGACCTGAAGGGCCAGGTTGGGAATAGATTATCCTGGAGAAGGTCTATCTATTTGGTCACTAAGAGTTAACAATTGTGTGATGGCACATAATAAATTTTTTAGCTTTGATGTTTCAAACTTTTGAGGTATAAGAAAGCCTCTAGGAAGATGCTCAGCCAGAATAGAATGTATATTTTAAAGCAAAAATAAGGCAAATTGTCACATATAAATCCTAGGACACTCAGTACAGATTGTCAAAAATATTATAGCCATTGATATGACCTAACTACTTAATTTAATTTTGCTCTCAACAAAACAGCCTTTTTTTAAACAATAGTGTTCAATAGTTATTTATCTAGGGTATACATAAATTAGGGTTTGCATAAATTAGGGTATGCATAAATTAGAACAGGTAGTATTGTTTTCCTAGAGATTTGCAGATTTCACTGGCTGTTGTACAAACATTAGCTGAGCAATCAATGTTATAGTGTAATGAAGTCATAATCACTTGTGAAAAAATGTGAGATACCTTGCACAAGGGTCTTTGCAAGCAGAAACAGAATCATGTACTACTTGCAAGGTTATGTACTACTTGCATAAAGATGAAAATGGATTTCCCAGAAGCTACTCAGGGCTAATTATTTGTAAGATAAGATAGGAGAAGGAGGAAAGTTTTCTTAGATCTTTCCATGTCTTACATTCCTTGCTGAAAGCAATGTCCCTTTGTCCACACAAGGCAACTCAAGTACCACAGTAACGTCTAATTTTTACTTAGGTTGAGAGAGTGTGTTTGAAGGCTAAATATGCGATTCCCATTGGTGTCTTTTTTTCAAATTGCTTTACGAAGTGGCATACTCAGTCTTTAGTGAATAATAGTAAAGTTGCTACAGAATATAAAGGCAATGCATTCATTTTGTTCCTAATATTTGTCAAAAGGATTTTCAGTTTTAAGATCTTTGGTTTGCCTGGCATCAGTGAAGTGTGGGCTTGCCTCTCTCCCCTTGAAACTAATGCTTAACTGGATCTTGCCCTGTACTTTTCATTTCTACTAACTGCAAAATACCTTATGTGTTAAATATAGGGTGAAGTGGATGGAATGAAAAACAAGTATCAGGTAATTGTTAAAACATGTAAAATTAGATATTTATTTTGTAATTTAAATAACAGTGATTGTTGGCATATATACATTGACATTAGTATGAATACTTAGCTGTTAAAATACTGCTAATGATTTTGCATTACAGTAGCATTTATACTTTATAAAATACAGACCCATAAAATAATTGTATGTACACAGCAGTGTGGAGCCAAAACCATAGATTTTAATAAGCACAGCAATAATTTCTTCTAAAAAAGAAGCCTGTTGCAAAGAACCAAAAAAAGAAGAGCTAACTCATGGCAAAGGTGAGCGCAGGTTCATGTTGGCTATATTTTAGTAAATCCCTAGATTTGTGGCTTAAAGCCCTTCTAGATTTACGACAGAGTAAGTCCTCAAAACCTTTAACCTTTAAAGAAATCCTTTGAGATTCATGGGTGATCTAATGTATGTATGTACCAACAATGGCTGAATTTCTCCT